CATCCCACTTACCCTCCTGTGCCTGACCAACATCGGCGACGTCATGGCCACAGGCTTCCGTCTGCTGTACGGCAAAGTCTGCTGCGGCCTGTGCTGCACTCTCTTCAAACCGAGACGTCGCCGAGTCGCCATGGACGTGGAAAAAGGCCTGGGCCGGCCGCTGGTCACTACAGAAGAAGAACAACCGGACAAACCAAAGGAGGTGATACACGTTCCCACCTCGCTCTGTCTCCTGCTCATCGCGGCGTACATCTTCGCGGGCGCCATGCTCTTTTCCATCTGGGAGGAGTGGGACATGCTGATGGGGTCCTACTTCTGCTTCATCACGCTGTCCACTATCGGGTTCGGCGATATCGTGCCTGGTATGGAGGGGTCGGCGTGGGCGCACGAGGAGAAGCTGGTTCTGTGCGCGCTCTATCTCGTCCTGGGCCTGTCGCTCATCGCCATGTGCTTTAACCTGGTGCAGGAGGACGTCAAAGCCAAGTGCCGCTGGCTGGGCATGAAGCTAGGGATCGTAGAGAAACCAGAGACGCCTATCTAGCATCGGACATCGCGATGTCACTGGGTCCTTTCTGTCCTTCTAGCCGGATCTTGTGACCTCGTAGTGGTGTCCTTTTCATCTAGCCGGGACGTTATATTGTTCTTTTCATCTAGCCGGACTCTGTGACATCGTAATGGTGTGCTGTCCATCTAGATGGACCTTGTGACGTCATAGTGTCTTTTCTTTCCAACAGGGTCTCGTGACGTCATAGTGTCTTGTCCCTTTGGCCGGATTCTGTGACGTCATATTGTTCTGTCCATCTAGTCAGACCTTGTGACGTCATACTGGTGTCCGGTCCGTCAAGCTGGGTCTCGTTAGGTCATATTGCTGAGTCTGTTCATCAGGCCGTGACGTCATTTCAGTTTGTCCGTCCAGTCAGACTACTTGACGTCACAGCGCCCTGTCCATCCAGCTGAGACGTCATATTGTTCAATACATCCAACAGGACATCGTGACGTCATATTCTCCTATTCATCTAACCGCACTTCCTGACGTCACACTGTCCAGTCCATTTAGCCAGACATCATGACGTCATATTGCCCTGTCCATTCAGCCGAAAAACTTTATATCATACTGTGCCCGCCATTTAGCCAGACATCATAACATCATAACATGACATTTTTGTGACTATCTAGTCAGACATCATGACATCATTACATGACATTATTGTGACTATCTAGTCAGACATCATTACTACATCTTGGCATCTTATTGTGCCTACTATTACACCAGACATTGTGACATCATTACATGACATTATTGTGCCTACTATTACACCAGTCATTGTGACATCATATTCATGTTGTATTATGAAGGCCGACATTTCTATTTTGTTCTGGCGGTTTAGGTGCTCTGGTCAT